GTGTGCACGCACCTGCATGTGCATATGTGTGACTGAACTTACAGTCTTAAGGATGCTGGCCACCAAAGCCCTCTACCACTCAGATGCTTCCCCTGATGCCATTTATATGAAAGGTTGAGACTAGGAAGATGTCAGTGGAGGGAATAGGAAGATTAAAAGCGCTTGTTGCCCATATTGTTCTGATTTCAATGAATCCTGTGGACACTGACTTTTCTTCTGAGGTGTAACTCTCAAACAAATCTTTCAGACCTCTACTGGGGGTGTGTGTGGGAATTCTGTCTTAATTTCCCAAGAAAACCATATGAAGTGGAGGGAGCAGAAACAAGCTTTTAGAGTTGAGGTCCCCTTGCCCAGCTCCGTGGGAAGAAGCAGTTTATTTCTCTTTGACTGGTCTTTCAATGTTCCCTTTTCATCAGTGACCAAAGATTAGGACAAAGCTCCTGGGGAGAGTCACTCAGGAAGACACTTCTCCTAGGAAGCAGAAATTCATCTACTGCATAAGAGTCAATATCATGGTCAGGACTGATGGCAGTCTTCCTAGTGTGTCTCTTTACAGACAACCTTCAGAACCAGGCACTGAGCCTATCTAGCATATGCAAAGCCATGGGTTCAATGTCAAGAACAAGAAAGAGGTAGAGGACCACACAAACAAGAGATACACAATACCAAAATGCTTCCACCACACAATCAAGAAATTCTTTCTAGAAGTTGTGTCATGCTTTTCTGATATCCAGAAATAATTGGATAAATAAAATGGTGAAATAATTCAATTTTTTATCATTTAACCTTCATCTGACATCCATTATAGTTATGGAAAGCTGCATAACAATATACATGTGATCTATCAATCCCAAGTCACCTGGAAGACTCATAGACTATGTTGCTCCCGCTCTCATTCTCCCTTCCTCCATTGCTAGCCTTCAGGTACTTCAGAGGGTAGTCAGCCCTCAAAGGCCAGAGGAAAGCTAGTCCTACTGAAGTCAATCAGTTGTGACTTTTGTTCTGAATTAACCACCCAACATTCCCAAAGTCAGTGAATAGCTTCATGATTCTTTTTTTCTTTCTTTCTTTCTTTCTTTCTTTCTTTCTTTCTTTCTTCGTCATCATTATCATTGGTTTTGTTTTGTTAGATTTGGGGTTTGGAGGCGGATATTTATACTTTGGTCCTGGGATTTCCTCTATGGGCAAAACCCAATCATGACCCATTTATGAAATTTTAAAAAAGTAATTATATGCATTGTGCATGTAGGTGGGATGGAGCTTTGGTTATCTTCACAAAGGAATCTGTTTCCCGAAGTGATTTAGAATCAGTGCAGTTGGTTTAGTAAGATGAACCTGGTCTCTTAGACTGCAGGCCAGAGTGGATCTCAGATTTCAAAGGATGTGCATTGCTATCAAGCCCTTGGACAAGAACTTCTGAATTTAGCCATCATTTCTACACCACTCACCTTGCCAAGTCGTTAAGATCCAAACGGCCATCTTTGTTTTTGTCAAAGATCTTCATCTGAAAGGCAAAAGGAAACATGGATGAGACAAATGCTTGTGCCAGGAATTGATCTTGAAAGTTCTTCTTTTGGGGAAGTAGGGCAGCAAGGGATGAGACACGGTTTCTCTGTATGGCTGTCCCAGAATCCCACATCTCTATTTGTAGACCAGGCTGGCCTTGAACAGATAGAGATAAGCCAGCCTCTGGTTCAAGAGAGCTAGGATTAAAGGTGTGCACCACCACAACCCAGTGATCTTGAAAGTTCTTAAGGCACCTCTCTAAACCAGTTGAGTTAAGAAACACACCTAGGAGAAATGAGTGTTTGCTACCAAATGACTGCAGCTCAGCTTCTGGTAAGGATGGGTCACAGTGAGCAGTATTCAGTGTGTTATCACACCCCAGGTCCATGTCTTGTTCCTGTGGCAGAGTATCTAGGACTGGCTGGCAGCTCTCCTCTCACAGCAGCTAATCTATGGCATCCTTCCGGGTTGCCATAGCAGAAAAAAATGGCAGCTCATTTAGCTGATTAAAATTTCATTATTCCAAAGCAAGGTACTGGTCACATCTAAATTCAAAGGAGTAAGGCAGTCAGTCCTGCCACACTTGGAAGGAGAAGTGTAGATATTTGGTAGGTGGCAGCAATAATTGCTGGATTTCTAGTAGGTGAAATAAGACTCTGCATAATAATGACAACTGAAAATCTGGTGTTTCACTTTGAGTCAGGGTTTTATTTAAGTATTTTATATTTGCCTATGCCATCTCAGCAACCAAGCCTTCAGTGAAGGGATCTTAGAGAGGATCCCTTATTGAGTAGAACAGAGGGCAAAAGACATCCAGCATTGTCCCATCTGCGCTTTTAGGTGAGATAACATTAAGAGCCAAAACTTTCTGTTCTAACCTCTCGGGGCTTAGCATATACAGGGGGCAAATGCCTTTACATGCATGAGTTGGGGTATGGACTTCCCTTTCTAGAGTTCCAGAGTATCTGTGTGCATATCGTGTGAGGAGGCTGCACAAGCACAGGAGGTGTGAGCTCATTTGAAAATATATTAGTTTTAGGTCCATTCTCCGAATACAGTTTATTTTTAGTATTTGAATTTAATTTGAAATCCTGTTCTCCCCAAACTTTGGCATCAAAAAATGTCTGTTATAGAACCTAATAAAACAGGGGTGAACCTGTAATCGTATGTGCCTATAAACCCTGCACTTAGGAGCCTGATTCAGAAGGATTGGTGCAAGTTCAAGGCCAACCTGGGCTCTATAGTAAGACTCTGTCTCATAAAGCAGAAACAGGGATATCACAGATGGTACAGGAGTAACTTGGAACTTCTTACATGTGCCATCATATCCTTTAAATATAAATACTATGTCCAGTTAGATAACACTTTTCAGGGTGGCTCACAGCTCATGATTTGTGATGCTGCCATTATAGGGGGTTCTGTCTTAATAGAAAGCAAGATTAGATTGAGTCCTAAGCAAGTAGTAACCTCACCTTGAAAGACATGGGCCTGGCTCCATTGCTGGGCAAATTCAAAAAGAAACTTTCTAGGCTGAGAAGCACTTGAGGAAGAACTGGACACAGGTGTGGTCAGCTAGACTCCCAGCCATCTGAACACTGCCTTCGGGCTTTACTTCAAATCAGAATTGGAGAGCTCAATGGGCAAAGTGCCTGTTGTATAAGCATGAGGGCCTGGATCCAAACCCCAGCACTCCACGTCAAAACTGGGCTTGGGGATACACACATCTGTAACCCCAGTGCTCATTCAGGCATGGGAAGAAGCAGACATGGGAGAAAACTCAGTAGCTTGATGGACAGCTAGCCTGGAATATGCAGCTATGGACAACAAAGGGACTAGCCTATCACACTGAAAGTTATCCTGTGACCTCCATATGAGTACCTTAGCATGGAAGTACATGCAGTTACACACCAAGGATTCTGCATACACACACACACACACACACACACACACACACACACACACACCATATACACATGAGATTTAAAACACACGGACAATCTCAGAGGCTTACTTTCTAGGTGATTGTAAGTTGACAGTGATGAACCATCTCATCATAATAGACACCCTTAGTGAAAGGGCAGCTTTTTGAGCAAAGATTGGAAAGAAATGGGTAAAAGTAATATACATATCTGGGTTAAGGGTATTGGGCAGAGATGGGAGACATGCAAACTATGGCACAATTCTTTGCTGGTGGAGTTGGCAGTAGTGTGGAAAGAACCAGGTGATGTTACATAGCAGCATCCTCCCAGATTAAACCTTCCATCTTGGAAGGAAGATCCTTAAGACTTACGATGTTCTAAAAGGAGGTAAAACATTCCATTTTGCAGGAAGCTCCTTAAAACTCAGGAAGCAACAACTCAATGGCTTCAGAAAGTCCCTGAAACTGACAAGATTCACTAGGCCCATCGTTCCTCAAGTGTATATAAGCAGGAGGGATGCTGAGAGACTAGCAGAGTCACCTAGAGACTCCTAGATCAGCTAAGCTGCCTGGAAGACAGAGACCAGCCGAGTTACAGAGGAGAGATTCTCAGACTTTGGAATTGCCTTCGAATTGTGCAGAAAGCTCTGGGGTTGTGGCTTTTGTGAGTCATCACCCATGTTGGAGTTGGCTTTCAGTAGATGCAGCCGTCTTTGAGTCATCCCTGCTCCTGGTAAGCAACTTCTCACCTGCTCGTGTCAATACTCATTAGTTAAACAGGTTGAGCACTTGTGCAATTGTTACTTTGGCCTGCCAGGGGTTCCCTTTCTGTAGTGAATAAACATGTGTGTTTTGTCTCACGAGGAAAAGTCTATCACACAACAATATGTTGAGGTGGATCAAAAGGAGATAAATTAAGACTAATGGTGGCTGGTAGTAATGCTTCGTCATTTTCTCGGAAAGACAGTAGGAGGGTTTAAGCTAATCTGGCTACAGCATAATGAAATCACAGGCTGCTGTGTTCAACAGGGAGCATAGAAGCTGACAGTGACCGAACGAAGCCTCTTCACTATCCATCATTGTGGCTTAGAACACGGTGGGAATGGCCAGATTCATGATGTAATTTGAATATAGCTGCTGTTATATTGAGTCTCCCTTAAAAGAACATATGCTGGAAGCTTAGTCTCCGGGGTGGGGGCAACATTGAGGTGAAAAAGTTTAGTTTGGTCTCCAATGTACCAGTGTTGAGTGGAGGAAAGTGTATATAAGCTATGAGTTGGGACCCAGGGAAGTGGTTACCTCATTTGGAAGGCTTAAAGTAGGTCTTGTGTGACTTCGGTTCCAAGATGAGTGAGTTGTTATGAGAAGACTGAGCATGGCCTTGGAGTGTCCTTCTGCTTGTGCCTCACTCTGTCCTGTTTCACATACACTTTTCCTGCCATGGGGATGCATCTGCCATGACTTCCTTACCAGAAGGCAACCAAATAGGTTAGGACTAGTCAATCTTAGATGTTCAGCCTACCTAAACTGTCAGCTAAATGAGTCTCCTTTCTTTACATACCACTGTGCTTCAAACATTTTGTTAATAATGACAGAATCTATGTTAGTATGGTAGTTGATAGAGTTTGCTAATTATATCTAGAGTGGCAGAGAAAGCATCAAGACTGATTGTCTTGACACATCAGTCAAGATGAAGGGAACCGAATGTGGAAGAAGCTTATGAGACAAGGTCAGAACTTCAATTTTGGGCATGCTAAGTTTGAGGTGTTGGATATAAAAGTTGAGACACATATCCATGTGTGCCCAAGAAGTTCAGAAGAATGGTTTGAGCCAGAGACATAATGTTGTCAGGCATTAGCTTGCATTTTAAACATCCTCAGATTGTGGAGAGTAAACAGACAGAGAAAATCTCTCACAAATGAGTCCAGACATCATGCCAGTCACAAGGCCAGCTTAACCTCATAGAAATTTCTGTCTGTCAAAGTGTCAGAATTTCGTTTGCTGTTTTGTGATAGTAACTCCCAGAGTCATTAGCTTGCATTTAAGAAAATTAAATATCATTTAACAATTATCAATCTAGACAGTCTCTCCTCCTATCTGGAACTTGCAGCGTCCTTTCCTCCCTTCCTCCTCCAGAACATTAATTAGGAATCAGGACAGGACAAAGTGTGCAGGTCTGAGCCTTTCTCTTCTGATTGGTCGTTCACCCGTAGCTTGTTTGTTAGCCATGCTTCTTCACATAGCTATCAATTGTGGCCATTCTCATTAGAATCAATTTGAATTCATCTGACAGGATACATCTCTTAAGCAAAGCATTTCCTGCTAAACCTCAAAAGAAAGTCTTCAGTGCATCTTTGCAATGATTGTGTTCATTGTGCAGCAAGAAGACACTAAAGCAGCAGAAATATGATTCACTCATAAGGAATCACTCAGCACTCAGGAGATACACAGCTTCCTAGACTTGGGACTCCAGGTAAAGCTAGCATTGAAGGATGGACAGGAAACCTGAACTCTACTCCTCTTACTGGTTTATGCTTTATGGTGGTGACATTTAGTGGGAGTGATAAGAATAAGTAGAGCACTCTGGTCCTTTCCGCTACCTCTCCAGATTTCCCCTGATGAAGGCTCAAAGGCTAAGACAGGGACTTCGTCTTCCTTCCCAGATCCCCCCTAAACATGTCAGTGACAAATCTCACATCTTTGCATTAACTCATTTACCAGATCAAGCTTAATAATAAGGAAAAACATCAGCATAGTGCCATCCCTTGGTGGAAAATGGCGTCTTCTGAGTCATTTTGAGGTCTGTCTGATCCCTGAGGAAAGGAGGACTTAACACTATGTCCCTGAAACACCCCATTGCCATTGCCAATGTTCTTGCCATTCAACAGGATGAAGAATTTTGGAATAGATCAGAATTCTCAGATGAGAGTGACTTGGAGGGTCATAGATTCCCTTTAATGTTTGGGGACTGATGCAAACAAGTATTGTGGAATAATCTTTTTGTACACTGTAGAGATATCTCTTTGCCTAAGACACCTTCTGATTGGTTTAATAAAGAGCTGAATGTCCAATAGCTAAGC